GATCGGCATTCATCTTGCGCATGACTGACCGTGACCTGTTCACACTGGAATCCGATATGGGCCATACTAAAAAAAAAAATGTGATAAGCCGAACAAAAAACTTGGATCTGAGCAATAAATCAGAATTGAGCGCTAAGTCTTGTAGTGGGAACGTAGCCATATATACAGGTGTGCTGCTCATATTATATACAGTATACAAGTAAGAATGTCTGCCTTGCAGTAGATGTTTTGTGTAGGGTTTGTTTAGGTCAGAGTCTAACAAATCTCTTTGTTATTAAGAACCATATTAGTAACAGTGTCCATTTAAATATAATCTGCCCAGCATAACTTGAGTTTTAGTCTGTTGAGCTCATAATATTAAGTAATTTATAAAATGCAGAAACCTAATGTAAGGTAAAAGAATAGGGGACTTCAGATTTTATAAACTGATTCGATAATGGATTCAGATTTTAATGAAAAATCAATTCCAAACCCCAGTTAACACTATCTGATCACCTTTGTATACTTGTCTGTTTCTTTGTTGTCTTTGATATATACGTTTGTTGAAACCTGGTGATGCCATCACTTTTCTCTTCCAAAGCTTCCATCATACATAAATTGTTTATTTCCCAGCTGATTGGTGGTTGTGAAAGTGTCATCTAACTGAGGAAATTATGAGCTTTGGTCCACTTTGACTGTTTTTTTCTTTTAGTCCTATTTAAAGCTGTTGACATTATATGAATTTATACAGCTGCCAGTTTCCTATCATGTTCAAGCTGATGTCTAACTCATCCCAACTGCTTTTTATTGTGTTTCCAGTTGATAGGCGGCTTCATCCTGGCCATTGGTATTTATGCAGAGGTGGAGAGGCAGCGCTACAAGACGCTGGATGGAGTGTTTCTGGCCCCTGCTGTAATCCTGATCCTCCTGGGAATTGTCATGTTTATTGTTTCATTTATTGGAGTCTTGGCTTCACTAAGGGACAATTTAACCTTACTGAAAGTGGTGAGTAATGTGCTGAGAGCCAAGTAACTTATCTTGTGGCTGCTGTTTGGAAGGTGTCAGTAAATGTTTTACTTATTGTGTGGTTTTTATGACACACTTTAAGAACAATGCACAATTTCACTGTGTTTATTTTCTTATTTACAAATAAGCATAAATAACTAACCAGTGTGCTCATATTTACCTCTATGTTTACCAATAAATCCCTTTTAAAACACTATAAAAACCTATCCGAAGATAAACATGTAGTTGCAATATAACATGGTACTCTCAGAATGAATGTGTCAATATTTATGGCCAGTTCTTCAAATGTTTCTTCACTACAAAGCAAGGTGTAAACATGTTGCTAGATGGGAAAAGATAGATCATTTGTTTGAAAGTTGGATACATTTATAGACCATTGCTTCCCTTTTTGCGCAAAAACAAATGCGGGACTTTAAAGCGGAGGTGTGTGAAGAAATGAAAACAGCTAGTCCTACAAATATAACACACAGAAAAACAAGCAACCTTTAATGAACGCAGCCAACCTGTTGAGAGGTACATCGATCAGCTATAACATTATGACCACTGACGGGTGAAGTGAATAACACTGATTATCAGGTTATCATGGCTCCTCTCAGTGGGTGGGATATATTAGGCAGCAAATGAACATTTTATCCTCAAGCTGATGTGTTAGAAGCAGAAAAATGGTCAGCATAAGGATTTGAGCGACTTTGACAAGGGCCAAATTGTGATGGCTGCCTCTGTGTGGTGCGGTGAACACCAGCATGCCCAGGTGGTCATAATGTTATGGCTGATTGGTGTATAGCTCTGTGGTGAATAGAAATAGTCAAATGTGAAGTGTATAATGGCTCTTCCTCTCTATTTTGTTTGGTGACAGTTCATGTACACCCTGGCTGTGTGTCTGATCCTGGAGCTGCTGGGAGGAATATTGGCGCTAGTGTTCCGCAACCAGGTGAGTCGTCCAAGTTGTTGATCAGTAACCTGACACCTCAGTATTTTGGAGTGGAGTTTTACCTCCTGCAGTGTAGGAACAGGATAACAATCAAAGCTTAATAGAGCAGTGAACTAATACTGACACACTTTCTATCACGAGGAGATGATACAAACCACACTAACAAAGACAAATAAAGCAGAAATGTTTGATTTCGTTCTTGGTTGGTCTCAGTATCATTGATGTACACTAAACACTGCATGTCGCTTCTAAATATACAAGTAGTAGTATAAATGATGCTGGAATTATGAATGAATGAACCGTGATCATGACATGACATTACACTTAATAATATTATTAAGGGGCTAGAGTACACTAAAGAATGTGTCATTATGCTTTTGGTTTTTCAAAACTGACTCAACCATGCAAATTCATAAGTTGATATAGTTTCATTAAGTGGAGACTTCACTGACACCACAGTGAAACCTTATTTGCTCATATTTCTAGTCAGGAAATGCACATTATAATCAGAATCTGTTCAAAGATTGGTCAGAGTATTATTTGTATTATATCAGTATAAACGTTGTGCTTCCTTGACCCATCTTTGTGTGTCTGTATCTTTCTTCTCTGTCTTTCTTGATTAATATCTCTCTTGTAATCCTGCTCTCATATCCGTTTTTTGTTTCTCCTATTGTCTGTCTGTCTCATTTCCCTCCCTTCAATAAAATCCAATAATGTTCCTGTGCATACTAATACAGCGTTCTTGGTTGTTTTTGTGCAGTCGTGAGCACCTCCTCCAAAACAGGTAGCAATCATGAACAGTACTTTGTGGGGGTGGGGGGGAAGGAAGGAAAGACTTTAACGTGACAACAGACCTGACCTGGAAAGCCCGGAGGTTATCATTTGATTAGGCAATTTCACTATTGGCATTTACTGACACACTGAGTGCGGTGACTAGTGGGCGACCAATATAGTTTTTTTTTGGCCGATATAGAATGCCAATATCAAAACAAGGAGTCATGTATAATGCTATTCTGTAAGTAATTCAGGTGTATAGTACAAGGCTTAAAACCAACTTTTTGACCACCTTCCCAAAAAGGGGGAGTGCTAACATCGTTCCACAGCAGCCACACTGACAGGGCTGCCTGCAGATGTGTCTGAAGACATTTTTTGTTTATTGATGCCGATCGATTATTCGGTCTGTCACTAGCGGTAACCAGGAGTGTACCAGCAATTCCTTACTAGGCAACATGACTTGAACATTTTTATTTGCTGTGTTATTTGCGCTACAATGACCTCTGCTGCTGTAAACCAAACAATTTCTGCTGCTTCTTTATATTTAGAGACTCTCATGGCGAAACCACTTGAAGCCTTTTATTGTGAAACAGCTACAGGTGCAATCACTGTTGGTAGTATCGTAACATGGACATTTTTCTTTTTTGCCAGAGGGTTTTAAATATTGTAATGGAGGAATCAGGAAGCCACAGTCAGAAGAAGTGTATGCAGTTTGGGTGAACCTACATCACTGGTCATTTAACATTTAATAATAATAATGTGTTTTGTTTTTCAGAATTATATGTTTTTTTTTATCAGTTTCTATAAACATTAAGTAGATGACAACTACTAACTGTCTATATGCTGACTTATTTTAGTAGATTCTTTATATTAGTGAAATAAGTGGTCATTGTTTCCTCCCCACAATCCTGTAATACACATAACTGCATGAAACTGCTTGAAGTCTGCATCTAAACTAGTAGGAGAGCTGTTGAACCTTTCATCATGGTTGCTGCTAAACTTTTTTTTATCAGATGTGCCTGCTGCTTCTGGAATTAGTACTCAATAACAACTCATCTTTAACATTTTCTTGTTTTGTCTTTGTGATTTATAGATGTATTGAACATAAGAAAACTACACCAAATGATGTATTTTGTCTTTTATTTTCTTTTTTAAATGGTTACATCTCCATCTCATTTACACAAAGGTCATTTTACAACTGATGGTGCATGAGACATTAAAGTGCCTCATTATTTTTGTGAGATGAAAAGTTTTTATGTAGTTTAAGTCAACATTTTGGAAACTGACTTTACACAGAGAAGAATCATCATCTTTAGACGTGAGGATGTTTTCATATAATGGACATTAGGATTACTTCTAATGTGGTCATTTGACCATGATTTATGGTTATGGAGCAAAATTGGTTTGATTATGACAGTCTACTACTGAGATACTCATTCCATCAGTTTTCATTAATGAATATCTTAATGTGACTCTGCAGGGAAAAACTTGGGTATCAGTCTTTTCACCTCTTTTGAATGCTTTCAATCATCTCATTTACATGACTCTTACATTAAAACATAATAATGGTCTGTCGTGGAATAACTTTTTCAATAATATCATGTGATGCATTTTTATGGTTATGTCTGTTTGTCAAAAGAAAAGCTAAATGATTATACATGTTATTGTGTTAATGGCAGTTTTATCTAAGATACAATGAAGAACCCGCTTCTAATATGTCATAGCTTTATTTTACTGTCGTCTCATTTACTTTGAAATTATAAAGACATGGCAGTGCATGAGGAAATGTGTTCATTCTAATAAGATTTCCGTTTTTTTGCACTTTTTTCTTTCTAGGGTCTCATTTCCATAAACACTATGGTTAAGATGATATTGCCATGTGAGCTTATAGTGAGTCCTTCAATAATGATCCAGTGTCTTCTGTCTCAACGGGAATATGCCGCAGTAGACTTACTCCAATTCTATAAATCTGCTCATTGTAATGTAGTTAAACGTGGCTGCCTTGCCCCTATAGGCTCACTGTGAAGAGCTGATATGTTCAGGGGAAGAAGAAAATAAATTAAATGAAAGGCTCAGCCCCTTTAATCTCTGTGACTCTTATAAGGGGAGCAGTTTCCATTCATTATCTGTGGTTAAAAGAGTGGAGACTGAGCATCGACAGGCCTGAATCGGGTAAAAAGCCTGATGTTCTGTTGCCCCAATCTCTAATGAAGTATAAATTAGACTGATTTATCAGAAACGAAGAGTCGAATGAGGTGAAATTAGTGGGATAAATGATTAGTTCCCTCAAGGAAAACATTGAATGAAAAGCTTTCCATGAATGTACTTAGTGGAGTTCCAAGTTGCAAATATTTATTCAGTCTGAGACTGATACATTAACCTAATGTGACCCTGCTGCACCAGATTGTGACTGACAGATGTGAGCTGTTATATTTTAATATTCCAGTTCAGTGGATCAGTCACCTTGACTAATCAGAGCATTTCCTCTCCAGAGTTGCCCATCTGATACATTGATTGTAGATCAGCTGTGTCAAGGAATCAAATCAAACATGGTAACATGACCTCCTCCATCCCATTAACACAATTACACATACACTTTTATTGTCTCCCTCTTACAGACAGTGGGGTTACTAAACAAGAACATCCGAAAGGGCATAGTGAACTACTATGATGACTTGGACTTCAAAAACATCATGGACTTTGTACAGAGGAAGGTAAGGTTATGCCACTTCTTGTTTTCTGTCATTTATACCTTCCTGTTTGTATTTCAAATGACTGGATTGAACGGTCTGTGTAAGCTTTTAAAATGTTATAATGCAATGCAGTTTACAAAACAAACTTGTTTAGCATTACAAGGCTGAGTCAGGATTATTTTGGGGGGCGGGGGGACTGCACCATTAGTGAGCTTGTAGGATTAGTGCAGCAAGTTGTGTCCAAAATAATTAAAGAACTGTGCAGACCCATCACTCTGCACCTGCTCCCAGAATGCATCATGCTGTCTGAAGCTAAAGATCTCATTACCAATTGTTACCAAGCCCATGGGGAAGCAGTATCTGTGGGCAGCAGAATGAACGCACATTAAAATTAAGAAGCAGCCTTCAACAAACACCACTGATTAACAAAAGATGAAAGACAAAGACAAAGACAGCGTGCAGGCTACATGCCATACACTATTAAGGAATTCAGAGTAACCAACACAAGTATCAGTGGCCCAGGATTGTGTCTTGATTGAATAATATTTTGGATGCTTGAAGGCCCAAAAGTAGGTATTTGGTTGGTTGTGTGGGAGGTAATTTGGTGGTTTAGCAAATGGAGGCTGAAGCACCGGCCTCTGCTCAAGTCCCTTTACTATGGAACTTTTAAAAACTTGAATCTAAAAGTCTGAGCTTCCACACATTTGTAGACTGGCAGGCTTTGTAGACTGGCAGGCTTTGTAGACTCACAACTTTAGTTGGTAAAAAGCCTTCATCATTTGTGTTGATTGTTTTATTGCTGCCACGAATAGTGGAAAGATAGTTAAGGTAAAAAAAAATACTTTTTCATATTTATTTCGGCATACCATCCCGTTTACAATATGCAACGTTTTGGCAAACTTGTCGTAGTTTCCTACCTTCAAAAGCAGTTCCCCTTCATTATCATTCCAAACAAAAGAAGGCCTGCTGGTTTTGAATGTGTTACGTGTGGTATGATTTTCTGAAGATCCTAACTTGCTAGCACTCTGATCCGCTTGCTCTGAAAACACATACAATTCTTCACTAACAGTAATAAGGAACTTGGCAGCAGTGGCGTGAAGCTTCTTCAACCGTATTTTTTTCCTGTCATGGTTTAAATCTGCCGGTTGGCTCAAGTCTCCTGCTATAGGAGAGATTTAAGTGCTTTCCTGGTGTACTTGAATGAAAAACAATCAGAAAACCCCTTGTTGGGGAACTGATGCTGTTTCCACAAGTAAATGGGCTTTGTGGATTTATCTGCGTTTGTGAGAGCCGTAGCCTGAATGAGCTATGGTCATGTGTTTGTATTGAATGAATGAGTCACTGGTGATACATCTCTTGGTGGTAACTAAAACGTGGAAACTTTGTGTTGTGTGTGGATTGGTGACTGTGTCTGCATGTATGTGTTGAGGTATTGTGCAATACTTACATTGTTTGTTATGTGAAGTGGTGTCACTTGATCCATTTTTTAATTGCGATGTGTTAGGTGTGTTAAAATATATGTTTTTGTCAGTTGTTTACATCTTGAGATTACGTTCAGTGGAAAACGTATCTGGCATATCAAACCACAAACAAATTTCTAGTGTTTTCACACTTGCCTTGTTTGACAAGCCCAGTCCTCTTTTTTTATTTCAGTTCATTTAGGTGAACAAATAAGTAGACAGAAACTAAACCAAAATTCTGCAGGCATGAAGGTTATCATAACGATCAAAAAAGACCCGCCCTCTTGACAGGGTCTTATATATGACAACCTGTGACCGTGACCCTTTCTGACAATCATGGCCTCTTCATGCATGTGATGGGCCACTTCTCTCTCAAGGTTGCATTTCACAGCATCTGTAAGCTGTAATTCCAGGTGTAAAATTGTATCAGGTGTGTAACAACAGAGAATTTCTCATCCTGGAGCCACAACACAAATCAGTGGATTAGTGGCCTGTAACATCATATACTGTATTAAGTTAATTTCAAGCTGACCTTTCTATCCGATTGCGCCTCATTATTCTAATTGAAATGTGACATTTATTTCGCCAGCATGGGCTGCCTGTATCTTCAATACTGAGAAAGACAATGAGCCTTTTTTCTGCTCACAATTACAATATATTGCATAGTTAATCAAAATAAGTAAACCTAATGCTGACAACTGCGGTGTCTTACTGCAGTAAAGTTACCATTTCTTATTTCCCCAAGAGGAGATGGAGGCAACTCCAGACATCTGCCTACATAAACACAACGGAGCTCTAATATTTCAGACCTTTTTTTTTTAATTTATCAGAATTTACATTGAAGTCATAGCATTCAGTGTTGTCACAGCCATTGCCACATGGTTTATATCAAAAAGCCTTACAGCAGTGCAAACAACAAAGCCATTCAGTCATTTGGACAGACACTGACTTCATTTGCTGAGCACTGTGTGGTTATTTGACACAAAAGTGATCATGCATATTTATAAGTTCATTTTGGATTCATCACAACAGGCAATGTTGGCATTTAGGCGAAGCAAGACGAAGCAGTTGTGTTCAGATTCATAGCACATTTCATCAGAAGTAAAGCCAATGTGCTTTACATTAAAATGCTTATAGCTACAATGTGTGTGTATATGAAAATATGATAAATAAGAGATAAGAAAATGCAATAACAACAAACAGAACAACGTACAAGAAACACACACACACACACACACACACACTAACTAATCAAAATTCTATGAAAGTAAGGAGGTTTGTGAACAGTATTATTTTCAGTATTGTTTTTTTCTTTTGAGAGCAAGACCACAGTAGATGACAAACAGGATGTCATATTAGAGGATGAGAGTAGGATGGTAAACTTAGGTGAGGCCAGGAGAGAATACCATCCAATGGTAGCGGTAGATGGCATTGCCATCCAAAGTTAAAATATTTTGTAACTTTTTGCTGTCCTCCATGACAGTATTTAAAACCGGATGTTACATAGCTCCCTCACACAAGGAGAAAACATGGACAATCAGTGACACTAACAATTAATAAATTACATTAAAAAAATATACAGAAAATTGTATTTGTTTTATATATTTATTCCATTATGTGTAAACAATACAACATCACCATAGCAACATATCGTTATGCATGTTTCGTTTTGTTTTGTTTGAATTTCCTGTGCTGTGAGGAAGGTGCTGTCCGTCTACCTTCTGCCTGAATCCATGTAAATGCAGCATAACTTGGGTTTATCTCTACCATATCTTAACCTTATATATCATATATATCATGCAGTTAACCACTGCATGACGGCAGCCTGAGAGGTCTGATTGGATTGTAGTCAGTGAGCAGTCCATAAATTTTGTGGAGAGGCAAATTATTAAGTGCTTTATATATAGCACGGTCATGGTCATACAAACATTTAGCCTCTGTGGCTACTTAAGTCTTGTGAGTCACACAGGAAAAACTGCTTCTTATATAATTTATGTTGAACCACCTGACACACACGGATTAAACAAGAATTGGTGAAACTATCTAACCACAATAGCACAATAAACACAAGCCAACAAAATTAACAGAATCTATATGAATAGGACGGGTCAATGTTGCCCTCTCAGAAGAACAAATCAGTCACTATGCTTCTCTGTTATTGAAACCTGGCTGTATTGCACCTGGAGAAGCCCTGATTGATCAGTTTGGTCTACAAAGTGTGTCCATCCATCAGATAGGAGAACATTGGTGGGAACAGACCATTACTCGGGTGGTACAATAAATCATTTGGTCAGGTTGTATTACTGTAGATCCTCTGTTGCCGCCCCTTTCCTTTGACAAGAACTAGTTTTTGCTAAAATTATAGACCAATATTCTCCAGCAGTGCATCACTGTAAGATGAAGTTGGTATTTCTTTTGTGGCAGTAATGTTCTGCCAATGTTTTGATTGCATAGATGTAAGATAAAAGCTATGTGTAAGCTACCCAGTCTTAAGGGCTTTTATACAACATAAAACATTGAGCCTCATGCAAGAATGTTTTTTTTATTTTCCTCTTATATATATATATTTATGTTATATAAGGTTATGTTGCATTGCAATTAGCTAATGGAGACACTACAGTAAACCCATGTAAGGTGCTGTGTGCAAACCACAAACCAATAAGCCACTGACATTTGACAGGTAACTTTAATATGTAGTTATTAATATTATGCAAATCTACTTTTAGTGGACTACTGCCAAGTATATCAACATAGCAGTATAACTTAGGTTGTACATCAGAATTCTTATAAAAGTACACAATTTTGGAATACATTTCTAATTGTGTGGAAGTATATTTTCCTGAACTATAACAAGGCTGGCAAGTATAATTACATTTGTATTTAACTTAAGCTATATTTTAGTATACATACATAAAACGTGTTATATAAGTACTGTATATCTGCAGATAAGAATGGCTCATTCTAAGATAATGAAAACACAACAATTCTTATTTTCAGTTAATTATACACTAATAAAAACAAAGCTATGGATATTATATTCCATCCTCTTAATGTTACACATTGGGCCCTTAAATTTAATTACTTAAGTTAAAGTATAAGAGAGAGAGAGAGAGAGAGAGAGAGAGAGAGAGAGAGATGAACTTCTGCATGTGTTCACATCATCCATTAGCACTATAAATGGATGTTATTAAAATACACAAGATATTGTCAGTATTTTGACATCACCAAATGTTTGTGTGACAAACTAGCCAGTAAGCACATAATGCACAAGGCACTGAAGCTGGACTGAGAAAACACATTTCTCCTGCTGCATTTGAAAATAGGGAAGATGCTTGCTGGTACCTTTGGTTATCAGTGCGAGCCAGTCACAAGTGTCTAGTCCTACAGATACTGCAACGTCAAACCTGTGCATATTGGAGATGTGTCAGCCTTACATTTACTGGAAAAACTGTTTATTTGTATGTGTTATGTTGACTTGTAAGATATCTGCAAGACATTGTAGTTATGCACAAACGTCAGCATATTCCAGCAAAAATATACCTTCCCCCCCAATTCATCAAACGTAGGCAGGAACCACTCCTGTCAGGGGAAACATACAGGAAATAGGAGAGGGAAAGTAGATGAAACAGAGAGGAAATTAACTGTGGTTAGAAATTTCTGCAGGAATAGATGGAGTTGTGTAGAAAAAAATCTGTGTGTGCTGCAGGGATTTTCTAAGAGAAACACACCAACAGCTCTTGTTAATGTATCAGCACCACTTACAGCAGTAGCAGCCTACTTGAGTAATGTGGGTTTTGCACCTAGACCATAAGCAAAACCCTTTGAGGTGAATCTATCTTTTGCAAAATGTTACCATTTTAATTGTCTCTGATCCTCAAAAATGGTCTGACCCATAAAATGTCACAGCCTGCTCTTTAAAAATGCTGTATTTGTAACCTGCAATTACTTACAAGCTCCATCTTCAGTTGTATAACTGATGTATGGTATCTGTAGGGTTGAAATCCTTTTGTTTTCTGATGGTTTATTATCCCTCTGCTTCCTCTTCTGCTGTCTCTCTAATTGCTGCTGGATAGTAAATGATAGGGACATGACATTTGGTAGGATGATGGATAATTGTTTTTAAGTACTCAATAATAGTAATATGTCCTCAATTAGCCTGATGGCAGTGTAATTAAAGGTACATATGTTGGCCACTACAAACGACATGGAAACGTGTTATACAGGAATTATATATATATAGAAAGTATTTTTTTGATATATTAACATAGTAGAGCCTAGTTACGCTTTATTGACTTGATAAACAGACATTTACATTGACAGAGCAAGTTTAAAATATATGTATATACAGATTAGTAACAAAAACATTTATAATAACCTTAAATAAAACAGAAAAAAATACTAATACGTGAGAACTTTTGGGTGTGTCACTCACTGTCCCTCCGGTTGTGGCATGTTAATATATATTGAACAGCAAGATTTGCCCTATTTCCTCCTTCCTTCCTGGGATTATTTTTGAGTGGTCATTTAGATCATATAAATCTACGATTACAGGGTTTAATGTTAATGTTTAATGTTTCTTCTTTCCAATGTTCCTTGTAGATTTCTTTACAATGCTTTATAATTAGTTTTACTCTGATTGGTGCTTGAAGTGTTGTTGTGAGACTAATCAGTGTGTCTGAGACCATCTGAGAACACTCTGTTCTGGGCTCTGCTCTTGGGTTTGGAGAGCTTTTGAATGGAGTGTGACATTGGGCTGGATTTAAGGGGATAGGAAGAAAGAAATCAAAAATGTTCTGTGTACGTGTAAAATGTAAAGATTCAGCTGGATCTTTGTCCAAACGGGTATAGCTATGATGACTGAGTGGACCCCTTACTTCACTACCATACATTGCAATGTGCTGGATGGCACTGTCAAATTTATTAAGACAGATTTTAATTGGTTAATTTGGATATTATAAAATATTCTCTTAATTGCATGTAAAGTTTTTTTATTTTTTAGTGCATTCACTGCCATGTTGAAACTCCCTGATGCTGTTATGGTTATATCTAGGTGGGTCAAATCTTGACATTAGTTTTCTTCACGCTTACTGCCCAGTTCTGGCAGTACTTTTCTTAATATTTATTACTCAAACTCATACTTAAATGATACTTACTTGTAGCTCACAATGGTTCAAATATTTAACATTACCTTACTGAATGTGGATGTCAAATTCAATGCATATCCATCAGTACTGGGCTGATTTAGACCCTTTTTAAAGTTGAAGCAGCTGCAGCAAAGTTAATGCCTTTCACACCAGACAAGTTTATGCATGTAAATTAATGAAACAAGAAGATGACAGTTTGGTATAGACTTCATCAGGTCATCATTACAGATGATTAGATTGATCATAGCAGTGGTAATCAAATATTCAGGTAACTGGGTTAATTAAGAAATGGCAAAGAAAAGGTTCCTCATGACACCAGCAGAGCCAGACTTTGGATTGGGATCCAACAGAAAGAGTATTTGATTGACACAAAAATCTGAGTAAAGCAAAAAGCATGAAAATTTGTCAAATTAAATTTTGTCTTGTACCATAACGTCAGTGAATAAAACGTTGTGTAACCCAATCATCGGTCTCAAAGTGAAAAGGAGAGTCTCGTTATAGTTGGATGGGATGGAGGGACATTTCATTGGTGTTGACAAATGTTCTGAGAGATAGATCCTTCAAATTGGTCTCTTAAGGATGCAAAATCCCCTGAACTGAACTCGACATCCATCTTCCCAAGTATATGATTTACGGCAGGACTTTTGGATTGTATTAGACTGTAGAGTTGCACCTACTAAACCGGTAACTCATTGTGGAGCTGTAATGTTTTTGCACTTAAACTTAACAGTTGCGGGCACTAATCACATCATAATTGCCCTGCCTTCCTGTGACCCTAGTTTGGGTCCTGACCCAGTGCTGGAAAAACTGCACTCTGTGGAGTTATGCCAGCAACAAGTTGGAGCACACTGGCATCATGTCAGCATACTGATCACACTGCCTTGCAAAGAGCAGCCTCATATTTATTCATGTATTTATCTTCTCCCTTTATCTTGTGTCACATCCTCTCTTACTGTCTCTCTTGGTGTCTGACCCTTTGTCCAATTTGTTCTCTGTCTTTCCTGTACTGTCTTTTCTGAATTACTTTCTACAAGCCAATAAAACATTTGTCCCCTTAAATGACTACAAAACAGAGTTAATAGTATGGCTCTTGGGTTTTTCAGAGTGTTTATTCTCTAAGGCAGCTGAGCAGCCGCTATCCACCCCAATGACATTATGAATCAAATAGAAGTTACTGAATGGAGGCCTGGTGTAATTTATTTTGAGTGCCATCAATTTGCATAGTAAAATTATTTTATTAAACACCTTCAAAAAGAAGTCAAAGTCAAAATGCAAGGTCCAGAGATATCATGGAAAAAATGCTCTGTTGTTATTTACATTGTTTTCAGTCCTATTTGTTTTAGTTCATGATGGATATTGAATAAGCTTTGACATCCTTGTGGTTTCCCAGCAGAGTGGCTGCCTAAACAGCCTACAAACCATATGACACAGGAGCACTTAATTAAAACAAATAATGAAGTTGTCTGAAGCAGCGTTTAGTCAATGTGACTTAAAAGCTCTGAGCCAAAACCAATAATAATTACCTTCCTTTAGATAGCTTATGTGAGGTTCATTTATTTTCTCTGTGAAGTAATGATATTTATTTTCTTGTCAGTAATGGCTGAAATAGAGGGCAATATAAGATAATTGGTTGGTGTCGCACCATTTCGTGCCTGTGAACCAACAATAGGAGACTGGCAAGTACCAAATTGTTGTTAGTGTTATTGATTCAGGAGGAAACACTTCAGTCTGTGAGGGTGCCACTTTTGAGTTCTGGCTGCATTTGTAACTTTTCACTAGAAAAATGTAAATTAAGATGTCAATGTTTATATTTCGCATTGGAGTTAGAGGACAAGTAGAGCTTTAGGTTCCATTGAATTGTAAAGATCTTGATCTGTATGCATGTAAACGTAACATAATACAAATGTATTGCCACAAATTACACTAAGAAAGGTTCATTGCAGGATTGTTTGAATTAGATGATATTATGTCCACTGGTTTTTAAGTGGAATTTGTATTGTAATAATATGATCATGTTGTTTTAATAATTAACATTTTTTTAATCTTGTTTGACATGTGTCTATAATATATCCAATTTAAACTATAATTTAAATTGGATATTTATGTTGCAGTATAACATTGTATTATATTGTGTAATATTGGTTTTAACCATAGCCCTACCACCACCTGTATAGTGATTTTTGGCAAGGAGAGACATATAAAAACATAACACAGACTCATAATTACATGCAAATTATAGTTAATTATGGCTCATTTCATCCCAAAATGTAACTGGCATTAAGCCAGCTCAACAGACAAATGTTTATCAAGTTGTTTACTTTTTTTGTCCCTCCCCTCTCCCTGTCTCTCTTGTCTATTTCTCTTATTCACATTACATATCCTCTTCCATCACTCTTAATCTCTTTTCTTTACTTCTCCTTTCAATTTCTGCACTCATCTCTACTCTGCTGTCCTTTCTGTCTTTGGCAGTTTAAGTGTTGTGGAGGTCAAGAGTATAAGGACTGGTCGGTCAACATGTACCACAACTGCTCTGCACCTGGTCCATTGGCCTGTGGTGTCCCTTATACCTGCTGCGTCACTACCAAGGTAGGTATGACTATTACCATTGCTATTAGTATTATTTATCACCACTATAAACTGCTCTAACTGTTATACAGTTGCATGTACTGGCTGTTGATTATGGGTTTCTTGTTGTATCAGGTAATATTAGAACCATTTCTATCCTGCCAAATACAAAAACAAAAAACAAAACAAAGAGCATTGACCTAGAAAACAACACATGGACATCAGTGCCATTATGGGCTCAGAGGATTTACAGACACACAGGAAGTCCTGACTCTATGTTCTGTTTTGTGTTTCACTTTACATTAAAGGGGAAGTACGCTAATTTAACATATTAAAGTATATTTACAGGTCTTGGGGAGTACTACTGCATAATGTGGATTTGCATGAGGCCTTTTGTAGCTCCAGTGGGAGCTGCGAGAAATCATTTAAATTGACTCAAGTGGTCAGCATCGGTTGGGTCTAAAGACTACAAGTTTGAACATGAAAAAAATCTGTGGATGTGGAGTTAGAAAGAAGTGAGTTTACCTGACCTCTGAACCCCATTCCTAATCTCTTCTTGAGGTTTGAGGCTACATTAGCAGCTACTACAATAAGACACCCAAACCTCCGACCAAACTGTTGGTGGTCGAGTTGCATTGTGGGCATCAGGTTTTGACAATGAAGAAAGAATGCATGGAACAAAAAGACAATATCTCTGGTTCTGCTGCATTGTTTTTGATCATTTGTTAACTGTCCATTACAAGTCTGACAGTGTTATAGAAGTGCAATGCTGAATCTATGCAGTTCTTTGGTTACTGCTGACAGAACAGGTGCTGTTTTGATCTGTGCTAATTATATCTGCCAATACCACCCAGGTATTAAGAAATGCATCTCATGCTCTGTTAACTGAAGATTAGTGTTTGATACCTAAAGATTACCTGAAGTGCATCTATAAAGCACACATTTTATCATTCCTGTCTCCTATTTATAGTGGGTCTGTAAAGCTCTGAGCACAGTCCGTATGTCATTATAGTAATAGCTGTAATAGTGTAGAATTACAGTTTAAAATGCATCTCATCATCCCTTATGATGGTGATTATGCCTTTGCCATGGCAGACACACTCACAGGTAATTTTCTCTCACACAAAACAGCACATGTGCTCCCTTTATTTCACACACCTATACTTCCCAGAGTTTACAAGGAAGGACAGAACAAACACTTTTTAGTTAGACAGACAACAGTTTGATGAACCGGCCAACTCTGCCTCAGAGCTGGACTCATGAAACCACTGCTCCTTCATCCTGTGTTCTCAATATTAAATTAAATTACCACAGTGTTGCTATTAGCAATTATTGATTTTTTTTATTAATATTCAATTTTGCATTACTGCGAGTCACCTGTGATAAAAAGGTTAATTAGGTGGCAACATCTTTTTTTCCTATTAATTGATAACATAAAATGTCATACCATTGTTTCCAGTTAATATTTGCACTGGTGGTTCATATTTTATTATTTTACTGTATTTTCTTACTCTTTACACAACATTCCCCTTCTGTGCTGCTGTCCCAATTTGAATTTCCCCTACGTGGATCAATAAAGGAACATCTTATCTTAATAAACTGTAGAGGAACCATTGTTAAGCAGCCTAAAGGCAGCCAATATAATGTGTTTACTGTAGTCCTTTCAGTATAAAGTTATGATAGAATAATGAACTAATATTCGATTGTTTTGTTGTTGTACTCAGTTTGTTGTGTTGTTTTTTCCTGTATTCAATATCATGAATTTGTCAAGAATTGTTTGGGGAAAAAATGCTCAGCTTAAGCTGAAGCCACGGCCACTATAATTTCTCATCTCTCCATATAATTCTATTGAGACTGAAATTCTCATATTAGAGATATCATCAGAATCAGAGTCAGAAATACTTTAATAATCCCAGGGGGAAG